ACCTCTCTGCTCTGTTCTTGTACACTGTAGGTTAGAACTATCCACTACAGGGCGGCACCCACAGCTCAGTGGGTAGGGTGCAGGCCACATACACCAAGGTTGGCAGGTTCGAACCCAGCCTGGGCCAGCTAAAACAACAATAAAAACTGCAACAACAACAACAACAGAACTGTAGTCCCAGCTACTTGGGAGGCTGAGGCAAGAGAATTGCTTAAGCCCAAGAGTTTGAGGTTGCTGTGAGCTGTGATGCCACAGCACTCCTACCCAGGTGACATAGTAAGACTCTGTCTCAAAAAAAAAAAAGAAAAGAAAAGAAAAAAAAAGATGCCTATCTTTAGGTGGATTGATTTCGGAGATTAACTTTTGAATTAGAATGTTATAATAGGTCACTGAGTTATGCTGATTGTTATTTGGAATAGGGCTTGGCGCGGTCTTTACTTTGAACTTTTATATATAAAACTGTAATTATGGGGATCGGGGTGGTGGCTTATGCCTGTAATCCTAGCACTCTGGGAGGCTGAGGTAGGTGGACTGCCTGAGCTAAGGAGCACCAGCCTGAGCCAGAGTGAGATCCAGTCTCTAAAAATGGCCGGGCATTGAGGCGGGTGCCTGTAGTCCCAGCTACTTGGGAGGCTGAGGCAAGAAAATCGCTTGAACCCAAGAGTTTGAGGTTGCTATGAGCTATGACACCATGGCATTCTACCCAAGGTGACTGAGTGAGACTGTCTCATAAAAACAAAAAAACAAAAACAAAAACAAAAACAAAAGAACACTGTGATTTTGGAAATGAAAGAACAGAACAGACTCAGAGAGGCTACTCTCACTGTTCTCAGAATCCCAGACTTTTGACAAATAAAATTTGGCAGACCTATCCCTGTCTGCAAAATGGCTGACAGTGACAGGTCGCCAGACCCTCTTAGTCTGGTAATACCTGGAGAGGATTGAGAAAGACAATATGAGCAAATATATGAAAAGAATATTAAATATTTTTAGAAAAGGGTCAGGGTCATTAAGGTGGTATAACAAGATGGTAGAATAACAATTAATAGGACAAATTAAGACTGGTGATCATGAAGGCCCAAACGATAGCAGGAGTCAGTCAAGTGAAGATCAGGGTTGAAGTTTCCAAGCAAGGACACAGTATAAAGACGATGCAAAGCTCCCAGGCTTGATGCCAAGTTGTGTTGCGGCAGAGAATGAGGGCAGGAAGGGTCATTTTGGTCTCTTGGTGGGGAATGTGAATTTTATTAAGAGTGTAGTGGGAAAACAATGAGTGTTTAAGCCAAAGTCAAGCCTGATTTACATTTTTAAAAGATCATCCAGGGTGTGGTAGCAAGACCCACTAAGTAGCCAGAGAGGATGGGGACTGCTTCAGAGCGGTGGGGGTATAGTTGGAAAGAGCAACTGACCCTGGGTTTTTATATGTCCTATTTTGATGGGGTGTGCGATTAAGGATGAGGAAAAGAGAAATTGAAGAAGCCAACTGAATCATGAACTTGAGCTCATGGCTGGGTAGAGCTGCCATCTCCTGAGGGTGGAGGAAGGGAGGCTGGAGGATATTGCTGGATCTTATGAAATTTCAGGTGCTCATTAGACATTCAAGTGGGCACTTAGATATATAAATTTGAAGACAACATATAAATTAGAGGATTACATGTGATCTATTTCATTCTATTTTAAAATCTTCATAGCCTTGTGCCTTGCAGACATATCATCATCTATATAGTAAATAGCTCCATTCATTGATAAATTAGGTGGATCTCAGTTTATAAGAAAG